GACTCTTTTAAGTGAACGTCGAGAGCTGGCTCGCATATCTGAAGAGATTCTATTTTTACAAATGTAGCCTATAGAAATTAAATTATGTAATACAAATTGAAATATTAAAGTCAAAGTCATTTAAAGAGCCGTTTGTGAGCTAAAAGAGCCGGCTCTTTTTTAGTGAGCCGAGTCAAAAGAGCCGAATCCCCATCACTACTGTATTCGTGAAATTTGGACGCATTACATCCGAATAATGAAACAAATTGCTGTTGCCAGGAAGTAATAAGTAAAGTAATTACATTAGTTTTAAAAGTAATGTAATGAGTATTAAATTAATTTGTGAGCCTAAAACTCCAAGTAATGAAAGAATGAACAGCAAACATCCTGAAACGCATGACTTTAGTTTGCTTAACAACACTGTTCAGCTGGGGTGTGTAATCACTATACAGTGAAGTGCATGTATTACTGCAACGTAAAGTGATCACTGAAGCCCTATTTAAAAGTCTCAAAGTGTGGTGTGGAGCAATGGTGTGAAAGAGACAAATATGAGAAAACTGCAGCTTTAATCAGAGCGAACAGAGAGCAGAGGAAGAGTCCAGAATGAATTCTTGCTGGGAAAAGGGAGGCGAGGATGAACAATTACACCCTAAGGGAATGCAGCTGAGTCAAGTGAGACATACTGTACTGTAGCGTTTGTTTACGCATACATGAGCATGACTAGTATGGCACATGTGCAGCTTACAAATGAAGAACTTCTGCTTTGCGGCTAGAGCCCCCCAAATGGGAATGATCGCGAGTCGTTGCGCAATTTGCTGTTGACCCACTGGACCCACCAATCAAATCGTTGCTTTTTTCCACCAGAAACTGTACATAAGTTGATTCAATTATTCACATGTATCATACGTTCCATTTTTTTCCAATGATTGCACAAGTACTGCAGGAATTCAGAGCTATATAGACCCAATCAATGGTGTCGGGAAAGATCATGTGGTCTTGTTGAATTGATTGAAGTCATGGCAAGTGAAGTTTGGTTTTAATGAATGCATAGATTTCCTTTACCATATCATTATACCACCACCGCAAACCCCAAGGTCCACCATGTCATCTGTTTTGCATTTAAAAAAAAATACTGCTTGAATAAATCTTTATCAGAGCAAAGATAACTGCATAAGACTCTAAAAAATTAATGCAGTGCATTGCAAATTATATTAGCCTATACTGTTCCGTATCAGGGTGAAAATAATGAGCGGTTTTTTCCCATAACATCTGTCCTGTGAGTGTAACCTTTCCCCTGAGCAAATCGCTGCCAACACAAAAGAGTGATTTACCGCGTAAAGAAAATATACAATGAAGGATTTTCACTGTCGCTTGCCAATCAGATTCATAGTGGGCAAAAGCGGTGTTGCTAATGTGAACCAGATGACTGTTAAGCAATCCTTTACAGGCTCGTCCATGAATTCCACAGGACCGTAATAATCCTAAAAATTCACAAGTGGATTTTTGTACGTCAGTCAACAATGTAGTGCACTTCACAGATAGATTTCATGCATATTTATGATATTTAGCGTAATGTTGAATAGTTTGGAAAAACAAACATTAAGTATCTGTGTAGGTATCAATTTTAAATGTGTAATAAATGGCTTGTTAACATTATATTATGTATTTTAAAAATGTTAAATAACATACATTAACTCACATGTATGCATGTATACATATAGTCTATGATTCCCTGTTAAAAATGCAGGTTTTTGAGGTATTGATGTGATAACAAACAAACATAAACGTGTAGCCCTCAAACCGTATTCACTTTATAGCCCTTAATCCTGTAATTGTGGATTACAGGTGTGATACAAATTTTTATTTATTATAAATGTTATATCACTGTCTTCGATAAAGTTTTTTCTATCCATTTATGGTGTTTTTTTTTTTATTTTGGGGGTATTTTTGAATTTATTTACTTCAAAAAGTACCATATTTTCTATGTAAATTATGCTTATTTTTATGTTTTTTTTTATTTGTTTGTTTTTTTAACAACCGGTACATTAAAATATCATTCCAAAAAGTTCTTAGAGCTAAAACCTAAAGATGAAGTGACTTTGCTGTCACCTGGTGTCTTATTTTGGCTTATTTTAAATTACAGTTTTTCCCATTCATTTCTACGGGTGCCCATTTTTGACCCAAATACAAGATTAAGGAGGTTTTTTTCACCCACATTGTACATTGTAGAATTGAGTCAAAAAATTGTGTGTTCAGGAGGCAAACTTAGGAAAAGTAGCCAAGTCTTGTACCGCTCAGATCAATGGAAGTATTTTAAAAAAATAAATCAAAACTATTTTGCCCATGCACATTTGTCCAGAATACAGTTTTAGGGTTAAGGAAAAAAGTTCACGCAGTGACCTAAATAGTCAGTGGATTTGGTTTGTGTGTGTCAATCAACAATGCCAGTTCATGATTCTTTCATAGAAAGAAACCTAATGAAAGAATCATGAACTAGCTGTTTCATCCCAAAAACAGTCATGCAGAACTCCGTGTTTAGTCGTGAGGAACAAAGCTGACGATAAGACATTGCTAATTATTTTTCACTCTTGAGATGAATGCGCATTTGAAGTTTCAACAAGCTTGCACTCTGTCCAAAGTTTCTGCAAACAGTAATACTGTGCCGTTCCACTTGTGGAGAAGAGTTCAAATAAGGAGGGAGGCAGGATGTCTTTTTAGCCGTCTGACAAGTCCCACGGATTATTTTCACTACGGAAGGCCATGCATTTTTAAGCTGTGGTTTAAAGTTTAAAAAGACAGATGGGTAGGAAACGACAGCAAAAAAAATAAACAAAGATGGCAGAATCTGTTGCTCATGTTGGGTATTTGGTGTGTTAACACAGAATTGAATTATGCCTGACATATGGCAGCAGAGCGTCTGTGCCAGTAACATGCCATGATCCGGACTGCCAGAAGCTCAACATATTCTCTAGGGCAGGACGAATCTGCCCGGGTCAGTTTATGTGTTCATGTGTTTGCTCTGGCAACAGGAAGTACTAGTAAAGCTGCTTTGTAGACCTGAAACCTGGAAATAAATGTGTCATTTTGAACAATGGGTTCCTCTATATGATTGGATCATTATCATGATTCATAACAGTGATTATTGTGTTTCTAGCATTTTATATCTGGCAACAGTTCTTCTAACCCTAACTGATGGAGTGTGTAGCTTTTCATTTCTTAAACAAGCATGTAGGAAGACTCATCACGGCCATAATCCAGGATGAAAATGTCAAGATTAAATTCTTAAATTGTGAAAGAATGTTTGGGAGGAGCATGAAGGATCGTTTTCACACATGAATCCAGACCTTAAATTCATTGAAAGTCTTTGGGATGTGTTTGAGATCTTGAGCAAACATTTAAAATAACATCACAAAATTTTAATCCAAACAGCGACTTTTTGTTTGGCCAGGCAGTGTATACACATACATTTGCTCATTTATGTAAATGCAACTTTAAATGTTAACGTTTTTAAAAATAAATTAAGCACTCATGTTTGTTAATGTTTGCAACTTAATTCGAAGTGTGATTGTAGTTTATTTTATAGAACAAAAAGCAAATGTCTCTTCGAGTAATGTGATCGGAATTAAATCACTGCAATAAATCATATTCTTAATCAGTATTACTCAAAACATTTTAAATTGGAAGCAAAATTAAATACACATATAATCTAAATAAATCTTTAAAACTTGTTTTCACATTTTAAACAAATCTCTCTATATTTGGTCAGACTTATGCGTAAAAAATATTGTTGGTTTGACTTAAAAAAAATAAGTAACCTGATCGCCTTAAAATTTTAAGTTCATTGAAATGGAAAATTTGAGTTAATACAATGAAGGAGATTGATTTAATCATCAGAAACTCAAAATATTATGTTATCTGAACTACATAAATTATCTAAGTTGATTTGACAAAAGAAAAAATGTTGTGATTACAAATCATGAAAATATTTTTTTTACAGTGTACATATTTTATGCAATTTTGCTCACAAAACAAAATCTTAATATATGGATAATTAAATATTTGCGGCGTACAACAAGAGAAAAATATGAATTAAGAAAATGACACTGCGTAAGCTAGAACCCATGGGATTAGAGGACGACATAAAAATGAATCCTGAAACAATACTGTTGGAATATTTAACTCAAAATATTATGTTATATTAACTACATAAATTATTTAAGTTGATTTGATTACAAATCATGAAAATATTTTTTTACAGTGTACAAGAAAATTCAATATTTTCATGATTTGTAATCACATTTTTTCTTTTGTCAAATCAACTTAAATAATTTATGTAGCTCAGATAACATAATATTTAGAGTTTCTGATGCTTAAATCAATCTCCTTCATTGTACAAACTCAATTTTTCCATTTCAATGAACTTAAAATTAAGGCAACCATCTTACTTCATTTTTTAAGTTAAACCAACAATATATTTTTACAGCGTAATTGTAAATGTCATCCTTTGTAAGCACATTACGAACTTTAAAAAAAAGCCAGTCACGACAGATCGGACAGATCTGTTTAGTAAGGAACCAAATTGTTTGTTTGGAATCAAAGAGCCAACGTCAAAAGAGCTGACATATAAAAAAACAGAGAAGTTCTCCTGTGAAAAGGGAAGTCACGGTAAAAACAAAACGGCTGGAGAAAAAGCAAAGATAAAGAAGAAACGGGGACCGTCCTTGCACAGTTCCCCACCCTTCATCAAAAGAGACATCCAAACATAACATTTAATGATCGTGTATGACTGCGGACTTTATCTTCGAGATGAGGAGGGGTGGTGACGCTTAACCCCAAGTAGATGCTATTTCCTTTTCAGGCTCCTCTGACCCCTAACTTAAGAGGAAAAAAGTTTTCTCCCCCTCTCTCTCTCACTCTCTCTCTCTTACACAATCTCATTTTAGAGGGTGTCTGCAAACTACATGCAGACTTTTTGCATCAAGTGTCAGGCTAGCAAGAAGAAACCTCCTTCTCTGTGGACTCGACCGCGCTCAGATGGAGTGAAACGCCACTGGAAAGCGTATGGATATGGCACACACGGTGAAAACTCCACTCAGGAGGTCTTTTAGCGAGCACGTGAAGGATTCAACTAACAAAGCTTGGGATACATTTTGGAGGAGTGCACGTGAGAAGCGGCTCTCAGGTAAAGAGATTGCGGCTTTCTCTGTTGTGCCTTGGTGGTCCATTGACGCTCTTGCTGTATGATTTTGGTGTAATGACAAGCTAAACGTTTGTTTAAGCATACCAGGAGTGCGCATTGGGAATTCTCCGGTTTCAATGGTTTATATGAAGAGTTCAGATGCGAAAGTCTCTAAATGCCATTTGAAATTTTCTTCTTTAATGATGATTTTTATCAAACGTTCAGTAATTTCACTTAAATAACAATTAATAGGTAATTATCATTGCCATTTAAGTGAAATTACTGAACTTGCTTGATAAAAATGATCATTCTAGAAGAAAATTTCAAGGCTTTTGCATCTGAACTCTTCATATGTGAATTGCAACTAAATATTGATACATGTGTCATCAACTTCTCAAAGTTGTCAATGACGATGGCTTTCTAAATGTCTAAAATGGTTTGAAACGTTTCTGTTCAATTGCTCGGATATCATCTCTGGCACCAAGGCACCGCAGGAAATGGCCTTCGGTCGATAAGAGGGCTAAATCTTCCTCGATAGTTTTTCTATCTCGTGGGACACTCCTCTCGAGTTCGTCATACATTACAAGCCTGTCCTAATATTTACGCCCTGACCCAGCGTGTCATAACTCGGTGTAAACACGGTCGCACGCGCATAGATCACGATGTGCATCCAGATGCGGCTCATAAACGCGCGAGAACTCATTAGTGGGAGAAAAGCTTCCAATTAAAACAGATTGTTGCCAAACACGAACGCACCCCAATTAAATGCGGCACAGCGACTCGCACTTCGCACGACACCACGGACAAGTGAAATACAATGCGGCACTTGCAAAAATGATGGTCTGGCATGTGCAGTAAACATCTGGCCGGGAAAGATTGGAGCTTTTATCGACGTGGGCTGATGTGTGAGGTATTGCGGTATCTGGGTTACGTCAAAGTCGGAACGCAACGATAATTGCTTTTCCTTCTTTTCTATTGTATTGCTTCACTTATTTTTTTTTTACCTGAAGTTGAACAGATTGTCCTCGCCATTCACGGTCAGCTCTCGTTTCACCCATGCCAAGAGGCATTACCTCATCGCAGGAACCGGAGCCACGTGTTTTTTTGTGTGCCTGTCAGAGCGGTTGTTTGCGTGTGTGAACGATAGAGGAACTGTGTATAAAGAGTTGTGAGCTCCATTATGATGGAGAGCAGACCTGTTAGCTCCAGAGATTACTGTGAGAAAGCCTCACCAGATGTTGCAATCTTTAAAAAAAAGGAAAGAAAAGAAAGAAGATTGGGTGGGGGGGTTATGGGGAAGAAGAGAAACATACACAGCTGGGGGAAAAAAAAAGGAAGGAAATGGGGTCAGATTCCACATTTTCCTAAGCTACAATAACAGAATCTCTGAAAAAATTATAAGTTCTTCTTTTTACCACAGCCATGAATATTTTGCAAGTCGCTTTGAGGAATTGTTTAATTTTGAAACATCACATATGGGAAATCATTGTTCTTCTGAATTCCTGAATTGAAAATGTCATGACTGTTAATATATTTATATACACTCTTTGTACTACCCAGCATTTTTGTACTATATACACAAAAATGCTGGGTTGTTTTAACCCAATTTTAGGGTCGAATATGGACAAAACCAAATGTTGGCTTAAAAATGCAATGTAAAAATTTAACCCAACAGCTGGGTTTGTCCATATTTGACCCAAAGTTGGGTTAAAACAACCCAGCATTTTTTAGAGTGTATATATGAAGAGTTCAGATGCAAAAGCCTCTAAATGCCATTTGAAATTTTCTTATTTAATGATGATTTTTATCAAACTTGTATATTTAAGTTCAGTAATTTCACTTAAATAACAATTAATAGGTAATTATCATTGCCATTTTAGTGAAATTACTGAACTTAAATATACAAGCTTGATAAAAATCATCATTAAAGAAGAAAATTTCAAATGGCATTTAGAGGCTTTTGCATCTGAACTCTTCATATATATATATATATATATATATATATATGAAGAGTTCAGATCATTAAAGAAGAAAATTTCAAATGGCATTTAGAGGCTTTTGCATCTGAACTCTTCATATATACATATTACAGACCCTTCACTCTAAAAAATGCTGGGTTGTTTGAACCCAAATTTGGGTAAAATATGGACAAACCCAAATGTTTGGTTAAAAATGTAATTTTCAACCCAACTTCAACTTTCACTTTCAACTGTAAATTTTTTAATTGCATTTTTAACCCAACATTTGGGTTTGTCCATATTTGACCCAAATTTGGGTTGATACAACCCAGCATTTTTTAGAGTGTTCTAGTTTGGAATATTCTGGTGTTAAATTTGTTTTTAACACTGTGTCCTAACCAGACATGATAAGTGATTTTGGAGTGGAAGCAGCATCACACAGGTGCAACATTTTGGTTATCATTACCACTGTAGAAATATTATTCAACGACATATTCATCGCACATCAGTCATTTATTCTGCCACCAAAACTATGCATCAATTAGGAGGGATATCAAGTGTTTTCAAAATGGCAGCGGACATGTTTTCATCTTATGGAAGCCTGTTTCCATCAATACACCAATGTATTAGATAAAGTGTAAAGTAAACATTTCAACATTTTTGAAAATGTTACACTGCTGTAAAAATGCTGGGTTGTTTCAACCCAAATTTGGGTCAAATATGGACAGTGTTGGGTTAAAAATGCAATTAAAACATTTCACGATACTGGAATTTTCAATCCAAATTTGGGACAAATATGGACAAACCCAAAAGTTGGGTTGAAAATGTAATTTAAAAAAAATTACAGTTGAAAGTGAAAGTTGAGGTTGGGTTATAATTTGAAATTACATTTTTAACCCAACATTTGGGTTTGTCCATATTTGGCGCAAATTTGGGTTAAAACAACCCAGCATTGTTTAGAGTGTACGATTTTGAAATAAAAGAATACAATAAGTTGTAGATATGAACAAGAAATGTGAGATATAAATATAGGAAGTCACAATGAAATAAATAAAAACAAAGTAAATCTCAATTATGAGATTATAAATCACAGTGAATATTTATTTTCTCTGAGGAAGTAATGTCCTTCCCCAGCACATCACAACACCTTTTTTTCCGCCCACAGTTGAATTGACTATATCATTTTCAGAAGCAGAATTCTTTTGAGTCTGTTAATGTTTTTCACAAGTGGCGTTGCTGGAATAACTGCAGGGCATCAGTAAGACTATAAATTCCACTGACTTGTTTTTCAGAGCCTTTGCAGGTCTCCATTTCATAGGCTTTACCTAATAGGCAAAAGTATTAAAACATATTTTATGGCATCTTATATGTACAGCAGATTACTAAAGGTTTTAAAAGGTATGTCACTGTTTACTCACTCTCACGTTGTTCTAAACCTGTATGAGTTTCTTACTTCTGTTGAATTCAAAAGAAGATATTTTGAAGAATGTTGTTAATCTGGTTACAAACATTCTTCAAAATATCTTCTTTTGTGTTCAGCAGGAGTAAGAAACTCGTACAGATTTGAGAAATCGTGAGGGTGAGTGAATGACAATATCATTTACATTTTTAATGGACTGTTACTTTAAGAAAGACCAACGTAAACAACAGAAGTCCGCTGACTTCTCTTGGAACTAAAAATACAGAAGAACAGTCAGGAAGAATCTCTGAATGATCAACTTCTTAACACTGTCTGCCCTGTTTTAAACCAAACATTGAGCAATTGATCGCATCTGTCAGCAATTTACCATAAAAAATGTAAATAGCTGATTAGAGTAACAGATTTACGCGTGGACCTCTCTATAAATTGGGCTCAAAGGTTAGGTGGGCATGAGGTAGGCGTTCACACACTCGCATAACCATATATAATCTGGCTTCTCATTGCAGGCCAAGGCTCATTAAACAGGCTGCAACTCAGATTTACTGCTCAGTCTCCCTCTATTGTCCCATGTGACCAGGGGTTCGTTGGACATCGGATGCGTTGGAATTTGTGCTGCTCCGGTCAATGGCCGTCTGTGCGACTGTTAAATGAATGAATGAATGAATGGTCTGTGTTAAATGATCATACTTCATTTTGACAAAGACTTTTTTCTAAATGCAGAATTACAACGCACAGGGTGTTATAACCCCTCAATCGATTAATTAATTCAATAAATGGTTTATTAAAATAATAATTTAATTTAATCCATCAATCAATCAATCAATCAATCAATCAATCAATCAACCCATCCATCCATTAACCTGTCAACCCATCCATCCATCAATCAGTCCACCCATCCATCTACCCATCCATCCACCCATCAATCAGTCAGCCCATCCATCCACCCACCCACCCACCCATCCATCAATCCATCAATCAGTCAACCCATCCATCAGTCAACCCATCCATCCATCCATCAATCCATCCATCAATCAGTAAACCCATCCATCTATCAATCAACCCATCCATCCATCAACCCATCAATCCGTCAACCCATCCATCCATCCATCAATCAGTCCACCCATCCATCCACCCATCAATCAGTCAGCCCATCCATCCATCAATCAATACATCCATCCATCCACCCACCCACCCATCCATCCATCCATCCATCCATCCATCCATCCATCAATCAATCAGTCAACCCATCCATCCATCATCAATCCATCCATCAATCAGTAAACCCATCCATCCATCAATCAACCCATCCATCCATCAACCCATCCATCCGTCAACCCATCCATCCATCCATCCATCAATCAATCAATCAATCAGTCAACCCATCCATCAGTCAACCCATCCATCCATCCATCCATCCATCAATCCATCAACCCATCCATCCATCAATCAATCAATCAATCAGTCAACCCATCCATCAGTCAACCCATCCATCCATCCATCCATCCATCAATCCATCCATCAATCAGTAAACCCATCCATCCATCAATCAACCCATCCATCCATCAACCCATCCATCCGTCAACCCATCCATCCGTCAACCCATCCATCCATCCATCCATCCATCC